AGTAAGACAGGAAAATCGCCAGAAAATGCGGTCAAGCATGGCGAAAGAAGTGATCCAACTGCAACGTATGGTGTTTGTCCAGCCAAAGCATATCTGGCTGTGGACGCTTTGATAACGCCAATTAATGTGTGCATGTATTATATACATGTATGTATGTAGATGTGTGCAAGATGTACGATTTTCTGTTAAATAAAAATTAAAATTGAAAGAAATTATATTTATTTGTTTATTTATATCGCTTTCCACAACTAGAGACAAACAAAAAAAAATTTGTATTAATATTATATACGTATGCATATATGTATGTAGGCATGTACATACACACATACGAAAATAGTACGTGCCACATCTATTGGCCATTTCGGTTGGTTCTATCTTTTTTTGTCCATATTAAGAGTTTCTTCAGCTCAGCGCACTGCTGTGTGCAGCCCGTTTCGGTTTGGCAAGTTCAAGTATTTGGTCGCTTGACGTGAGGTGACGTCGCGGCTGCAGTTTGCGGTCAACAAATACAATAACTACAAATCCCAAAAGCCATACTTAACCTGTATTTTCACATTGACCGCAAACACCTGCACGCCAATGCTAAGGATGGCAAGGCACTTTCAGTCGTTTGCTGGGCTAAAAAGTTGCGGTTTTCTGCGAGGTGTCCGCAAGGTCTCTTTAACGGTTACAAAGCGCCAATTGTATATGTAAGAGGTGCTGGCGTAGGGAAAATAGAGAATATCAGCAAGTGCGACAAACAATTTAATTTATTATTTATTAAAGGAATTTTTCATAAAAATATAAAAAATTAATTCAGTACTACTACTTCTTCTTCTTTTTCTCTACTGGCTTAGACACCGTTTACGCAATTATATCCGAGTTAATAACAGCGTGCCATTCACCCCTCTATTTCCCCAAATGTACCGCCAATTGGAAATGCCAGGTATCGTCAAGTTCTTCGTTAGCTGGTCTTTCCAATGGAGAGGAGCCGAATCACGAATGCGAAGACTGTTTGTTTGATGAGGGAAGATATTTCGTCTTGCCTCGTTCACTGTCAGACCCATTAGCTTCGTTTCCTTATCAAGTCTAGAGAAACTAGAATTCACGGTTGTTGAGGCCAATGATGTTAAAACCATTGGCGTACACTCTTACAGAAGATTGTACCTTCTCTATTCAACTCTGTATATCATGAGCTTTTGGTGTTGCTTAACGTCAGTTTACACAGCCGTATAAGATTTGCGGATATTCCTACAGATCGTGCTGTCGCAGGCTGTTTTGAAATCGACAAAGAGATGGTGTGTGTCGGTCCTCTCTTCACGGGTCTTTTCCGGGATTTGGCGCATAGTGAATATCTGGTCAATGTTTGACTTATCAGGTCTAAAGCCACACGGATAAGGTTTAATCAGTTTGTTGACGGTGAGCTTCAGTGTTTCTTACAAAACACTCTGTAGAACTTTATATACAATATTGAGGAGGATTATTTCACGGTAATTGGTGCAGATTGTTGGATTGTTCTTTTGGTGAATTGGACAGAGCACACTTAGGTTCTAATCGTCGGTCATGCTTTCATACGACCATATTTTGCAAAGAAGCTGCTGCATGCACTTTATCATCACTTCCACGCCGTGTTTGAAATGCTCGGCCGGCAACCCATCGGTCAAAGCCGCTTTTATAGGTTTTCAAGAGCGGGTTGCTATTCGAACTTCTTCATAGTCGGGCAATATAACATCTGTTCCAAACGTCATCGATTGGGGGATCCGGGTTTACCATCTCCTGGTGCAATATGATGCCCCCTTTTCTGCGGATTGGTCAGAGCATACTGAGATGCAATCGCCAATGATGCTTTCTCATTCGACTGCCGCAATCGCATATATTCCATTGCTATTTTATCATCATAGATTGGAGTTTTACAACCTCCAGATGTTTCGTTTTCACTACCATTCAGCAGGCTGGTGAAGTGTTCTCTCCATAATTGCAGTTGAATCTAAACTTGTTTCACTATTTCAGCTTTCTGGGTTCTACAAGAGATGTTGCATTGAACATATACTCTATTGACCGAGGTAGAACATACTTGAGTTCATCAGTGTCCTTAACTGCTCGACAATGGTATCAGTTAATTGACCATTCTACTCTTTGCCTCTTACAACAGCGCTGCCAACAGCGGGTACTGCGTGGAAAACTCTTACAGGTAGAGTTTGGAACCTGACGGTGTAACTTAGATCTAAAGCTCGTTTCGTTTCTTTTCCAGTCTGCCGAAAGCAGAATTAACCGCGCTAATGTCGAGGTCAATTACAACGGTGTCATCGGTATTGTAGCAGTTTTTTTTAAATAACTTAGTGTACTTAACTCGACGGATAAAGAAATCACTGATCATATTTAAAGGAATCAGTGGGTAATTTCATGCGAGGTCCGAATTATAAGGTAGATTCAAATGAACGTCTCAACCACTATCGACGTGTGTGATCTAGCGTTGCCCTGTTGAAAAAGGGTTCCCATCCTGTTAGCCAAAACTGGGCACTTCTGGGGATTGCTTCCTTCCGACGGTCCATTTGCTGACAGTGGCACCACACCATGGAATACCTTTTACGTCGAATTCGAATTGAAAAGCTTTTTTCTTAAGGTTTTACCAATTTAAAAACAAAATTTGCAACTTAAAGTGAATTTTTTTTTCAAAAATATTATTTTTTTAACTTCGAAAAAAAATATTTAGTCCATGTGATGAGTTTACAGCAGAGGAGAATTCCAATATTTCATGATACTAAAAATTGTTTCTTGAAGCTTAAATATAATTCATTATTTTCTTAAATTTTCGTTTACCACAATAATTTCCTTCCCTTTAAAGAAATTGCTAAAAAAAAAACACCAGTTCTCGGGCTCCAAAGGAGGTTACTGAGGTTATACGAGTATGATTTAGTAAGTAATATCTTTTTTTGGTATAATATTAATTACACTTCAAGCGTTATCGAAAACACCTATCGGATATATTAGAGAAATAATATATAACATATGTACAATAATATAATAAATAATATAATTAAAAACTTATAAAAAATCACAGTTAAATATAAGTAATCAAAAACTTATTAAGGCGAAGAGAGTGTAGCTAAAACGTGTACGTATCCTTCGCCAGAGAAGAATGAGAGTAATTTAGAATTCGATCGAATGAGTGCGAAATGTCAAACTAAAAACTTGATGATGGGTCGCACTGCACTAAATATATTAGGCTGGTGTTCAATACAAGATTAGGCGTAACAAATGCTTGTACATATGTAGAGACTTTAGTCGCTAAATGTATTTATCATTGTGCTTAGACTCAAACTGTCGAAAGCAAATAACTTATACTCACGGGACCACTTACATTAAATACGTTGACAGTTTGAATACTCTCGTATGCATATCCGGTGCAGTTATGTCAGACACGTTTTGGGGGCCGCTTTGTACATTGCAATTGCTATTTAGCGCCATCTGTTTATCAAGTTTTTAATTGATGATAGGTAGCGGGCAAATTTCAAACTTTGTTTACAAAATCTCTGCGTCAATATAAAGAAAGGTCATAATCACAGTCTTGAGTAAGAGCAGAGAATTTATAAAATATAGAATTAATATAATTATAATAATTAATATATAGAATTATAGATTCTCTGGTAAGAGTGCACATTAGTTCGAGTGACACATAATAATTAAAACGCTTTATATATTGTATATCATAGTTAGCTGAGTGCTCGGCATTAGTAAGCATGAACAGAATTATGTAGACTACCGAGAGAGGATTATTTGTAAGCACTTATGAAATGTCATCCAATTGGAAAATTATACTCAAAAGACAAAAAATTATTCCAGGACGGAATACAAACATTGGGATTTGGAGAAGATAAATCATTGTGTAAACGTGCATGAAAATAAAAGTACGAAAAGCTGTTCGGTCCAGTTTACTTTAATAATGGCAATTATTTAGCTAAGGAAAGGTGGGAACGATTGATTGTGCGACTATTTTTTAAATGTAAATGTACGTAAATATGTACAAATGTGTATTGTTATGCACCAACTGATCTTGTTTGAAGCCTCGGACAGCATTTCTCAAATTATTTCACGAGTTTTTCGTATTTGCTATCGAACCTTGGCAGCAAATTTTAATATTTACCCTTGAAAAGTTGCGAGGACACGATTTCCTCAGATTTAACGCATTAAGGAAGGTAAGCAGCTTTTGAAATTCGGACGAAAATCACAAAAGTAAAATACAGAAAGTGCTGAACATGATGTGGTTCGGACCTCATTCACCAATAAACAAAGAAAAATCTCAAGAGACTTGTGAATTTCTCATAGTGCTGGACACTATGAAGCTGCTAGCTAGTTCTATGGGAAATAAAGCGAGCAAGTAAGTGAAAGACTAAAGTCCACCGTCAACAAAATGATTGCACTTTATCAGTGTGGCTTTAGAACTGTCGAGTCAAGCACGAACACGAAGACGCCAGCACGAAAAATAACTTGCATTATGGTGCGGAAGTATGGACGATGACAACATCGGATGGGTTGTCATTCGTATTTTCGGGTGAAAGGTTTTACGTAAGATTTATGATCTCTTGAGAGTTGGGAACGGCGAAAACCGTAGACCATGGAGCTATACGTTGACGTAGACATAGTTAAGTGAATCAAGAGACAGCGACACTTCTGGTTAGTTCAGGGTGGATAAAATTATACCAGCTTTGAAAGATTTTGATGCAGTACCCGCTGGTGAAAGCAGAATAAGAGGAAGGTCTCCGCTTTATTGGAAAGATAAACTAGAGACGGATCTGGTTTAACTTGGTATTTCCATTTGGCACTAAAGAGTAAAGAAAGAATGAATGAATGTTGTTAAGCGTTGCAAACGCGAGTAAAGAAGAAGAGGTATTTCCATTTTCTGATTTTCTTCCATATTATAGATGAAAATTTCTTAAGTAATATATTTCATTTCGTCTAGCCATTTTTGTTGTCACAACCACGAGCGTTGACAATTTCAAACATTAGGCCATGTCACTTGTTTACGTGAAAAACCCAAATTGCAAAATAATGACTATGAAGTTCACTGAGTAAGTCACAAGGAACAGCCAAAACTCATTGTTGAGCTCGAAAAGGCCGAGGATGAAAAACTGAGTTGGTTGCGGCCACATTACATCCGAGTGGGTTAGCTCGTAACGGGAAGTCTAAAAAAGTTAAGTTAAGTTCATTTCACGGATTACCTAAGTCGAGTAAAAGCTTTACCTCAGGAGCGTCTTCAAAGTCCACCTCGCGGTCGAGGAAGAGATGTGTTATCACTGTGCGTAGCACACAACAGAAGTACACCGTGTGTATGAGTAGATACAGTTCAGCGCTGATTTTAGCATAGTAAAAAACGAAAGCAAACCACCAGGCTTTTGTTATGACATAATAATAAAGCTGAGCATACAAATTCGCCAACACATTGATGAATTCACCGGCAACCAGCAGAAGGAGCGGCAGCTGGAATACACACTGCAATCGCGCCAATAGTTCATCCAATTCCTTTTGCAACGCTACCAAATCCTCGAAGTACGTAAACTCAACAATTTTGCTCTGCTCGAAATCCTCCAAGCGCAGCGCCAGCTGAGCGTAGCATGCGGTCAGCAATAGTATCGATGCCATAATTAGTAGCTGCAGTGTGGCGCGGCACTGTTGCAAATAGAGTGATGCCAAGTTGACGGCAAATTGCCAAGGGTCGATTTTGATTGCCAGCTTCACCAGAAAGACCAGCTGCATCAACACATCGTACAGCGTCAGCCCCAATTGCAACCAAAGCGGCAGCAGTACACGTAATCTCACGAAGTTTCGCCCATATATGGAGCGTACACGCTGCACAGTGTCTTGCATACGATTGAGAAACCCACACAGGCGCTGACGTTGCCAGATCTGCGATAGTATGGTGATTAAGACAATACTGATGTCGCTAACTTGCGATATCATGGCAATTCGCACGAAGAGTGCGTCATATTGTACACCCACACTTGCGTATGTCGAGGCGATGATGCGCAACAGGAAGGGTGCGGCGGTGCACATAGTCAACAGTAAGAAGAATGAAAGGTAGCTCAAAACTCTATGCGTCCGATATATGCCGCGTTGTTTGGAGCGTATGATGGGCGCCAACAACATGACTTGTGCGGTGAGTAGAATCGAACGGATGCTGATGAAGAAGGCGACACTGTAGAAACGACGTCGACGATCTGCCCATTGTGTCATTGTACTGGGTGTTAGGCCAACTCTACGTTAATAACGACAACAGCGACGTACTCCGCCGATCACTTACGCCAGTAACTGTTGAAGTGGAACTGAAACACTCTGAAATCCTCATCGGTGTTTTGTACAGCGTTAGTTACATTTTCGTACTCACTTATACATATGTATCTCGTACACAGAGAGCTTCCTTCTTTTGCCGTTGCATGCTTGGGTAGGATATTGTCATTAATTCCTGACAATCAGATGGAATGATAGTGAATTTTCTACCTATAAATTTGCATAATTTGCAGTTGCTCAATCGGCCTGCTAAATCCCAAAGGTATCCAGTCTAGGCTAAAATATTAATGTTAAATAGTAGGGGTTGAAAAGTCGGTTAAGATTAAATCACTACGAGGTGTGACAATTAAGTAATGAGACTAATTATACTACCGCGATTGTGGTAACCCTGTGAACTTGAAATTCCCTTTCCCTTCTCCCAGCATCCTTCTACACCTCATTGATATATTCGCCATCGCTCTAGCTTGTTTAGTTCGCCTGCTGTGTCGTGTTGAGTAAAAGTGTGTTCGTAGTGCTCGTCACAAAAATGGAAAAACGAAATCAAGAGCAACGCCTCGCGATAAAATTTGCGCCAAATTGATCAAGTTATTGCAGGCGATGAGAACTGGTTTTTTTTTTTTTCTTCCACCGAGGCAAACCATGAATCAGGTCTACTGTCGCCAAGTAGTCGAAGGATCACGAAAATGAGTTAACAAAGTGCGCCCAGACATCGCTCGTAACTGGATCCTTCGTCACGACAACACGCCGTGACACACTGCCTTCAGCGTGTCCCAGTATTTGGCCTCTAAAGGTATCGCCGCGTTGCAACAACCACCTTATTCGCCCGATATGTCACCCTGTGACTCTTTTTTGTTTTCTAGAAAAAAATCGGCTTTCCATTTTGAGTCGATTGAGGACATCCTTGACGAAGGTACTCGTGGACATCCCAGTCGAAGCTTTCCATAAATGTTACGAAGCAAGGGGACTAATTTGAAGGGGATGGCAGAGTTTTAGAATAGTTGTGAAATACACGAATTTTATGGAATCAGTCTCATTACTTAAATGTTACTCCTCGTATTCTCAGAAACAGGTCGATGATGCGGTTCACATACATTTTACAGTCCAAGGTACATCAACTAAATAGAAGGAGAAAACAGGGAAATATAAACCCGAGTTTCAGTTTTTGAAATAGAATTGGCGTAGAAGTTTCTTTAAGAGCTATAAAATTTGCAAATCCTTGGATTGGTTTACATTACACTGTCAGAGAAGACTATCGTTCATTCAACTGTACACCGAATGTATAGCGTGAATTAGAATTTTATGTACCGTAGATGGAAGACTGTTTCTAGAATACTTCTCCGTTAACTCTTTAGCTCTGAAAACACAATTGCAATAATATTTCACATTTTGAATAACACCAACATCAAATACCGTTATTTCGGTCTTATGAAAGAATTTCCTCCCCGAGTTTCCATCTTTAGATGCGGACCGCTTTTACCAGTTTTCAAATAGTCCACTATTAAGCCCATTTATTCCTTAAATCGTGATTGAATATTTCTTTTTCTTATTCAAAGTTTTTTTTCATATTTCGAGGACCTTAGTTTCTTATGATACATGAAGAAAATACTCGAAAAAGCAAATGTGGAGATGAGACAATCTAAACCAGATATGCTACACTCACGCAATGTAATTGTTTCGTTTCGCTGCGAAGAAAAGTGAGCTCAACGCAATGAGATCGTCTCGTTTCGGCGCCATGCTATCAAAACATTACATTAACATTATCTGTTAACGTTTTAACATTAACGACAGATTTTTGTTTCGGGTAAAAATTAAAGGAAATTTATTTTGATAACTGCCTTTAGGCGAGAAGTTCCTTCAAAAACGTGTTTTTTAAATTTTATTTTTATTTATTAAAAAAAAAAAATTATAAATCCGAAATTGCTTTTGTTTTAAATGGCGGCTCTTAAAATTCCTGCTGAGACATGTCCTTTTTGTTCGTGAGTGACACGATTTATATCTTGGTCTTGCGGATCTTCTGGACTAATTCTATACTATTTCTAGCAATTTCCAAAAAAAAAACTTCGATATACTTAAAAATTTTTAGAGGAACCTAGCCTTAACTTTTAAATTTTCCAAATGTTTTAACAGAATCGGCAGACTTTTTTCGAATAATGTGAAATTTATTGTTAGGATGCAGAATTGATCTAACAATATAAGAATCTGCATTAGCTTCATATAGTTCGGAGGACTTGGTATCAGAAATGTAAAGATGAAGCTCGAGTTAATGCATTCAATACTTTTTTTTTTTTTGGTGAAGACGGAAATTTTGTTTTAACGGTTAACGAGCTGTTGGCATCATTGGACCGTTTGGTGAGCGCTACTGTGAGACGATATCAAACATTTTTCGCCCAAAATGCAAGACCTGCATGGCATGTGGTTTCAACTAGACGGTGCCACATGCCACACAGCTCGAGTAGCAATGGACTTATTGAGAGGAAATTTCGATGAAGATTTAATTTCACGTTCGGGACCCGTCAATTGGCCGCCTATATCGTACGATTCCACGCCTTTAGACTATTTTTTGTGGAGCTCTGTTGAGTCTAATGTCTAAACAGACAAGCCCGCTTTATTCGTGAGATACCGGCCGAAATGTTGGAAAGAGTATGCCAAAATCGGACTAAGCGGATGGAATACTTGAGGCGCAGTCTCCGTAAACGTTTACATGAAATTATCTTGGTGTCGCAACTATTATTCAAAAAGTTATAGAAAATTAATTTAAATAAGAAATTAAGCTAAATTTTCTAATTGCGGTCGCCCCTCGGCAGGGAATGTCCATCCCTTCCGAGTGTATTTTAATAAAAAGGTTCCTCATAAAAAAACCATCAGCCGTTCGGCGGCTTAATATAAACTGTAGGTCCCTCGATTTGTTGGAAAACCATCAAGACGCAAAACCACAAATTGGAGGAGCAGCTGGGCCGAAATTGCTTCAGTGGTTACAAAGCGGCACTTATATTAGGCCAAGTAAAAAGTGTATATATGAAAATAATTTTAATTCCGAAAAGAATGCTAGACAGAGGCCAAAATTTTCAACTATTTTCACTAAAATTCATTTTATTATCTAGAAGAAAAAATAAAGATTTTGAGATGAATATGTTTATCATCATCCTGGGTTACGGCTTCTCTGCAGCTAGAAATAAGGTCGCGTATAAAAAATACTCTTGTGCAAGTAGTTTTCTTGACTGCACTTGACTCGACTTGAAAATTATGATAGGGAAAATGTTCACGTCTTCTTGGGTAAAATCTATTCATCTTTATAAAAGACTTACTTGAAAATCACTGAGAAATAAACATAAGTAATTGGAACGAACTTTCAGGTAGAAGCCTGCGGCTTAAATTTATCTAAATTGTTTCTAACGAACTTTCAATATACAGTTAATAATTTTTTTGCTCACAAAGTTTTTTTAACTCATTCAAGCATTGCTAAGAGTAAATATTTCTTGCAAAGCAATTTGGTTATTTAAAATAAAATATTTTCCCGTAAGTGGACACACCATCCATTAGCCCTGCGTTAATATGGCATAATTTTCACGTTCCGCCGTGTTATTAACGACTGCAACATTAATTGCACCTCCAATGGCAATGATTCCATAGAGCTTTGAATATAATTTCACACAAACGCACATAAAGGGTGGTTTTTAAAAGCTATAGTAAAGTTTTCCAAAAAAAAAAAAAAACACACACAAAATTCAGAAAAATGCATGAAATCTTTATTTGAGTCGATAGTACGGTCCATATAATTTAATGTTTGAAGATTATTTCATGTAAATGTTTGCCGTAACTACGCCACAAATGGTCCATCCGCTTAGTTCAATTTTGACATACTCTTTCCAACATTTCGGCCGGTATCTCATGAATAAATGCTTCAATGCTGTCCTCCAAAGCGTCAATTGTCTGTATAGACATTAGATTTAACATAGTCCCACAAAAATAGTCTAAAGGCGTTAAATCGCACGATCTAGGCGGCCAATTGACCGGTGCTGAACGTCACCGAACTCGTTCACCGAACTCGCTTCTCAATAAGTCCATACGCGTGCTGTTTGGCATGTGGCACCGTCTAGTTGAAACCACATGTCAAGCAGGTCAAGCTCCTGCATTTTGGGGGAAGAAAAGGTTGATATCATCTAACGGTTGCTCTTACCATACACAGTTAAGCACCGATTCGCATCATCTTTGAAGTACGGTCCAATGAAGCCACCAGCCCATAAGCCGCACTAAACAGTGACTATTCTGGATGCATTGGTAGCTCCTGCAATGCTTCAGGCTCATCTTCAATCCAAAATCAACAACTTTGCTTATTTACGCACTCATTAAGCCAAAAATGAGCTTCGTCGATGAACTGAAGAAGCGCGCGATGAACTTTCTTAACAGAGCACGCATTTCCATAATAAAATTCAATAATTTGAAAGCGTTGTTCGTTTGTAAGACGATTCACTGTTAAATCATAGACCGAACTGAAGTTGTTTGACAGTGAGACAAAACATGAAACGTGCGTCAGCTGTTTAAGCCAGTGTTGCCAAAAATATAATAGCTAAAAGATCACCCTTTAGTACTGAAACAAAATAAGTGAGTTTTACGCGCTGTGATGTAAAAATAGTCAAGGCAGGAAACCCTGCCCCGGTGGTATAGACTTTTAGTGATGTAAGTGAAAATTGGTTCTTCAAAATTGAATAATTTTCGCTTCTCCACCTGCCGTTGGGAAGCCAGAGAACGGTGTATTGAACATATTCTTTAAAGTTCATGCGAGCTTGGAAACATATACAACATTTGCTTGCTTAGATTTATAAGTGCTCAGCTGAGTTGAAGTGATTGCTGGGCATTTGCTCATTTACCAAATGTGTCGTGAGAAAGAAAGTGTCTTGAGGTTTCAGATTCTTCTTCCATTCTTCAATTCATGCATAAGTCATTTGATGGTACGTCTAGCCTTTCTAGAGCCTACCTAATGGCAGATGTCCAATATGAAGACTCCTTTGTAGATATTTTCAAGTTTTTTGGAGAGGAGCTCATGTGGACAGCGGCATGTTCAGACTCTTCCATGATGGTGAAAGTGGAAGGGAAATGCTCTTTCTTGCATAATTCTCGCCTTCTTTTCATGCAAAAGCTACTGTGCCCGTTGTAGGTCCAGAGGGAACTACTTAACCTTCAAATCAAATGATCTGCGCCAATTTTCCACGGTTCATGATTTTATTGTTACATATTCCAGAGCTCTTAGCGCTGCCTGATTATCCGAGACGTTGAATGGTTTAGAGTTCCGCCCGAAAACGCTATAGTTTTCTAATAGACGAAATAACTTACTAACCCCCAGCTCCTTTGTGTAACTTGCTGCGGCTTTGGCATCTATTTTAGTTAATAAGTTGCATTTCCGCATTATCTAACCAGCTTATTATTTTGTTGAAATCGAGTCCCGGGTATCTAAAAGACGCAGTGATAGACAGAGCATTGGCGTTAGAAACTTTAAAATCTTAAATTTCCCAGTAGGTCCATGTAGCCCACGACTCGTCCTGCACCAAATATCATCTGGGTAGTGAGCAAAACAATTCTTTGGAGGTGAACTAAAGTGAAAGACCACAACTCGTAGCCGTGTGCGTAGAGTTTGACACTCACCCACCCATTGAAAAAAAAAAAAAAAAAATCATCTGAAGAGAGACCACCGTCTTAATGATCGATGTGAAAGCATGCAACTGGAATGTCTGGTCCTTAATTAGAAAGGTGCCGCATTCCAACTGTTTGATGATGTTCTTGTAAGACACCTAAGGAAAATGTGTAATGGTAGAGATAAGATGGGTTCTTGTGAAATTCCCCAACCCGACGAAAGAGAAGGTCCATATAACCAAAGAAGCTCCAAAGTAAGCGGGGCGAGTATGATGTCTTCGACAATACTGATGGAAAATTTAACTTCCATGGCGACACATCCCCAAACGTTCTGAGGCTGATCGACTTTGTCGGTGTTCGAAATTTATGTTGGCCGTAGCACCAGATTCCGACACAGGTTCAACAAACTGTGGTCATATTGTGATTAAGGGAAGAGTTATCTTCAGTTTTTTAGATGAGCAACTGCTCGGGCCTTATCGCAGCGAAGATAAGCACCAGCCTCAGAATATCAAAGAACGGTTGGCAAACAAAATGTTGTAAATCTCAACAGACAGCGCAACTGATTTCTACATGATCTGCAGTCGTGCTCTCCGAGGGCTCTCATCAGCCACTCGATATAAGGAAAATGTTGAAGGGCATTTCAAGCTACCTTCCTTCCACTATTAAGGGAAATTCTGTGAAAGGGTGAGGTAACTTACAGAAGGTTTCAAGACCGGAGGAACACAGGAAAGAACACTTCTCAGTAAAAAGTAAAAACTAAAGTACAAAGTACGCTCGAAGGAGTATATATATACATATATATATATATATATAATTGACGCTGAACTGCTGAAGCGATCTTCGGTCGAGCCTTCCTTCAATTTGTGGTGTGTATCTTGCTACTTTTTAAGCCGCTTCGGAACGGCTGATGGTTGTTTTTATGAGGAGCTTTTATTTCATGCTAGAAATATACACTTGTTGGGCTTGATATTTTCTGCCAAGCGTCCGCAAGAAGAAAATTTAAATTAATTTTTTATTAGTCATCAACCAAAAAATATTTTTTCTTTTGCAATAAGACTAATCCATCTATAAAATCGATTACTAACAGTATGTATATGAATCACATACATACTCATATGGTTGTATGTATGTAAAAAAAGCTTTCTAGTTACGAGTGAAAAACAAATTGTTAACACCATTCCATGCAGAAGTGCTTCATATTGGTTATTGGAAGAGTTTGAGGAAATAATAAAGAGGAAGAAAAGAATAAACAACAGCAGTGAAAATTTAAATAATTTAATATTTAAACAAATTTCACAATATACACAATATACTGTTATTCCATTTATTAACTTTACAAATTGCTTTGATAAAATATATGCACACTATATTTTACACTTTTGCCAATGTTTAAACACTTTAATTGTTTCGCTGATAAGACAAGCCAGGCGATTATCATTAAATGCTCACACATACATATATGTGATTATATTGCACCCAGCAGACAAAGCGAGTACGCCATGCATGGACAATGGAAACATATAAAACTAACCAAAATTCATTCAATCAATTTTGAACAATTGACATTGCGATGTGCTAGGGCTGGTTCATATATCCCACCTCGGTATGACGTCCGAGTAAATCATGGAGTACATATACGACATTAGTTTTAAAACTACTCCACAGAGATACTCCATGGAGTACCTATAAAGGGTGTAGTAAAAAGAAATACATTATTTTTGCATAAAATTGTATTATTCAAATGTTTTCAAACGGGTTTTTGGGGCAATCTTTAGCTCTTTAGCAGTCGAAACAGTGTCCTACGAGTACATAACGATCGGACTCGACAACATCAATGATTTTAACTACATTTTCGAAAATTGGCCTTCCACTCCGTGAGGCATCTTTTACCTCAAAATAATGAGAATGAAAGCGAAATTATGCATGATTGACTGGAACAGTATCAGCACCATAAATGCATTTTCGCCCTTATCTTAGAAAAACTGTAAGATATACCGTATTTTCTCTTCGCTAGTGTCCTTCTTTAACGCACGCTCAAGCAAAACTGAGTCAACCAATCATAAAACTGTCAGAAAGGCTTTTTTAGTGCGAAATGTCATCTTTTTAACGCCATCTAGTGGAACCCGCTCGGACTTATACAACGCGAGATACAAATAAATAACGCCTTTTATTGGAAAAATAATGGATTTCTTCTTACTACACATATAGTATAATAGTATAATTTTTAGTTTCGCATAAAATTCGCTTTGGTCAAAACATATATGCGTACATACATACTTAACAGTTATTATATATATTTTGTTGTCAATAAATATAATATATAACATATTTATATTTATATATTATATATATTATTATATATTTTTCGTATTGCTATAATTAAACATCGAGCAATCATCGGCTAACAGCGGGCTAGTAGCGAGTCGTCACTTGGTCCAATTGCGCACTACAGAGGAGTACCTTTTGGATTACTCCAATCAACCTCATGGCAAAAAATTGTTTGCCGGGTATAAAAACTTAGTACACATACCTATACATACATACGTATGTCCATACCTACTTGCGTATCAATAAAGAGATATGATAAAACAGCGTTTATTTTTTTTTTGTGCAGTTTCATTACTATTTTGTTGTCATTTATATATTTTTACAAAATACATACATACACATACACATATGTGTACTTATTTCGCGCTTTCTACGCGATGACTCATTTGCCGGGACGGCTTTTTACTTTGAGATAGAAAACTTTGGTGAGTGTGGATAGGAAATTTGGCATCTCCTTCATTTGATTGAGCACTTCAACCTTGGCGGAAGACTGATATTCATAGGCCACCTTGCGATTGACGGCGGTCAGCAGGCGAAGCAGATCATAGCCCTCACTATAGGCAATCGGCTTTTTGGCAGCTTCAATAAACACATCGCAAAGACTTTGAATAAACCAGGAACCGTTTTCAACATTACGAAATGAGTAATACTCTGAAATTGAAACATTTTATATTCGAAGTTATTAAAAAATTCAAACGCAAATTTTTCTTTTGATAAATTTACTCTCAAATGTCGAGTACATCACCAGCAGATCGGCGGTGTTTGGTATGGCATAGGTTATGGTGGCCGGTTTCTCATCCAATTCAGTTGGGCCGATTTGTCGTGTCATCACAGAGAATTCATTAAATACAACAGGTTTATCTAATCGTTCGCCGCGACAAGCCTTGAAGCAAAATTTACAAATATAAAAATCATAAACAAAAATGAGCAACTTTTGAATTGAAATTCGCTCACATCACTTCATTTTACCTGTATAAAGAATATCTTCGGTTTGTTTATTAGACTGGCACAATTTTCACCAAAAAACGGTTGCCATAGACGTTCCACAGGGTAGCTCATGTCACTAGCGAACACTCGTCCTTCGGCGCCATGTGACATTATGACCAAAACAAAACAATCATGACTGGTGTGATCCTCTTTGGCAACTGAAAGTGAAAAAAGAATATAAATAATAAAATTACAAGGAAGTGATTTTGGTTTTTGTGTAATATTCTGCTCCTGCACTCAAAGCCAGAACTGCAAGTTGGTTTCGTAAAATTGTTTAACAGTTTGATATCAGTGTTTTTTTTATTGATTTCTTGCATTAACTACTTCTCACCCAACCGACCAAGCGGTGCGTATGAAGGACAAAACAAAACCAACCCCTGCGGATGAGGGGCTCAAGAAATTACCGTCGGTAAGGCATGCCTGTCGTAAGAGGCAACTGAAATCCGATAGTTCCCGCGACAGTCGGGTCACTCCCGCAACATTCTCCAAAAAGTACTTTGGTGAATAATTTTGCGGTTACAACAACAACAACAACAACAACAACAACAACAACAAACCAAAACAGACCAGTGACCGAAAACCAGTGACACCCCGTTCTCTCCGGGCTGCCCTAAACTTAAGACTCATCGGGAAATGTTAAAGATTTGTTTATCAACTGCTGTGGGGAAAAAAGATGATGAGCTGTTTGCCTAGCAAAATAGGAAACTTAAGTAACATACAGAATTGAATATGTATGTACTTAGTAAAAAGAAATCCATTAATTTTCCAATAGATGGCGTTATTTATCAGTATGTCGCGTTGTATAAGTCCGATCGGATTCTGTTAGATGGCGTTAGAAAGACGACATTTCGTACCAAAAAAGTTTTTCGGATAGTTTTATGATTAGTGGATCCACTTTTGTTTGAGCGTGTGCCAAAGAAGGACACTAGCAAAGAGAAAATACGCTACATTTTACAGTTTTTCTACCATAAGGCGGCTGAAAATATGAATCGTGTTTATGGACCTGATACTGTTCCAGTCAATCAAGCATTAAAAAGAAGCTCGTTGAATTAGTGCCACACGAGTTAACGCAAAAAAACCTCATGGACCGAATTTCCATCCGCGAGTCGTTGCCGAATCGCAAAAAAATTTATATACCGCTCCAGGTTGGTGACTGGCGATGAAAAATGGATTACTTACGACAACGTCAAGCGAAAGCGGTCGGGCAAAACTCTTAACTCGGAACTGTACTGTCAGCAAATGGATCGTCTGAAGAAAGCAAATGCCCAAAAATGCCCAAATTTGGCCAATAGGGGAGGAATTGTGCTCCATGAGGACAAAGCCAGGCCACGCATATCGATAGTGATTCGCCAGAAGCTCCGGAGGCTTCGTTGGGAGGTTATTATGCATCCAGCTTATAGTCCGAATTTGGCACCAAGTGATTACCATCTGCTCCTGTCCATTGCAAAGAGTTTTGTTGGCGAAAAATACGCTTCAAGAGAGGCTTGTATTTCTGACATGAAATAAAGTTCCTCGTAAAAAAAACGCCAGCCGGTCGAATTTGGCTTAGTATAAACTGTAGGTACGTTAATTTGATGGTAAAACATCAAGACGCAAAACCACAAATAGGAGAAGGAGCTCGGCCGAAAATCGCTTCAGCGGTAACAAAGCGCCAATTATATAGGAAAGAGTGCTGCTATGAAAGAGGCAACAAGTTGTTAAAGCCTTTAATTTCATGCAAAAGTAATGGAATTCTTTTCACAGCACCGATATAATGAGCGAAGTATGAAGTGAAGATAACGGTGTTTATGAAAAATTAATCAATGCTTTATTTATTAAAAAAAACTCTTTACTGGGTAAGGATGTATATATTATATCATAGATTGTGTCCTAGATTCTTCAGCGGAGAAACTCGTTCAAGTACGTTGACCGTGTTATCTTCACTTAATCACCTGGTAACTCTTCTGAGTACTTGACATTGTGTACTAAAATTTGGATGGCCAGGGTTCAAGTCTCATAAGAAACCATCAATCCAAAAAAAAAAAAATGGGTCGAAAAGAAATCTCTCAGCATAACATGAAGCTTTATAAGCACAATAAAACCGATTTCTTGCGTCGTTTTATAACTGTGGATGAGAATTGGATCTACCACCAAGAGCCTAAATTGAAACAAGAACCTTTACGGTGGACGAGCACTGAAGCTGGTTGTTCAGCTCCAAAGCTGGTGAAGTCACAAAGATCAGCAAAGAAGGTTATGTCGTCAGTTTTTTGGATGCCAAAGGAATTTTGTTGATTGATTATGTGCAGAAAGGTAAAACAATTAACTCTAAATATTCTTGCAGCCTTTTTGGATCAGCTGAAAGAAAAAGTTCGTGGGAAAACACCTGGTTTGCTGGTTTGTTTTTCATTAAGACAATGCATCTGCTCACAACAATGACAAAATTGAATGAATTAAAGAACGAATTAAAGTACGAATTCCTTGAGCATCCACCGTATTCACCAGATTGGGCTCCCAGCGACTACTACCTTTTCAGAAACCTGAAACAATTCCTTCGTGGAATGTGTTTTTTCGTAGATGAAGAAACAATTACAGCTTTTATTTTGCAGAGCGTCCAGAAAGTCATTAGAGGAATAACATAAAATTATTGGTGGATCATTGGAAGTTAAGGGAGATTATATTGAGAGAAAATATACATTTCGTACCAAAAACAGTATTTTTTCATTTCCGGCGCAAACACTCTTCAACCAAGAAGTATTTATGGCAAAATAATAATCAGTCCACAGAAGCGAAATCACTGTTTAATTTTTTTTAAAAGTCATGGAATAATTTGATGACGGGTTAAGCGCACTTTGAGCATTGACAACCTTCTCCCGAAATACTTTCACTTCTATCTTCGACAGTTGTGTGGTCGAAAAGCATCACCACGACTATTACAGCTATCAAAGTAAAGTTTTACCTTCAGTTTTTTGGAAAATGTTATTTTTGAAGTACACGAATATATGTACTACTGTGGGCGAAAAATAAGATGAATTTTTTTGTTTGTAAAATTAAAAATCTTTTTTTATTGTTCCACATCGATTTTGTCGCCTTCAAAATAGTCCCCTGCCGATGCAATGCACTAATGCCAACGCTTTTTCCAATTATCGAGAGCGCGACGATTCACGTTTAATCTCCTCAATCGACTCAAAACGGTGTCCTCGAAGTGGTTTTTTGAGTTTTTGAAAGGGCCAGAAGTCACATGGCGCTAAGCATGGCGAATACGGTGGTTAAGAGAACGATATTCGTGGAATTTTCAGCGAAATGGTCACGAAGAATGAGTGCTGTGTGCGACGGTACATTATCGTGATGCAAAAATCAAGGGCTGTTGGTCCATAATTCTGGTCTTTTTTTGCGAATCGCTTCACGCAAACGACGCATAACGCTTAAATAATATTCCTTATTTACCGTTTGACCGGGCGGAAGGAATTCATATTGCATCACAACACGAAAATCGAGAAAATAGTCAACATGACCTTGATTCTTGAGCGACTTTGACGTGATTTTTTCGGCCTTGCCTCACCTTTAGCACGATATTCGTTTGAATGGTCAGTGGTTTCGGGGCCATATGCATAGATCCATCTCTCATCTCCTGTAATCATGCATTTCAGCTTGCCCTGGTAGTCAGAAAGCATGGTTTCACACACTTCAACGCGACGACTATTTGATCGCATTTCTTTGCTCAATTAAATCAGACATTATAAAAATCGCCGAAGGCACTTTTATTCGTTTAGTAAACACAAGCGTAACTAAGATACCAATGATGACATTAACATGAAATTATGCGTAGATGTCAATGACAGTGTTACCAATATTAAAAACGAGAAGTAACCCGAAATGTTATGCACGCGAAGCTCAAATTAAAAATTCAGCATAGTTTTCGATCACAGTAGTATATAATCTAACTTCTCTGGAACTCTGAATAAATATGGATGGAATCGTAAGTATAGAGGACTGATAGAAACCAAATCTGTCGAAAAGAGGATTTTCCTTCAATAAATAACACATACAAAATAACGCTTCAGTTGTGGGCAAATAAATAAAACCAGCAATTTAATCAGCTTCGTTTATTACACCTTGTTTAACACAAGGTTGAGTTCGCCTTAAGTCGATAAGAAAACTGCAATATATTTTATAAAAAAATATCGCATTTCTTAGAAACAAATACATATAAGTGGCGTGCATTGTATTGCTATGTTTGTGTGTATATTTGTTTGTTTGTGTATTTTTAATCATGAATTAATTGATATGCCATTATTTATTGAAAACATTTACACTTTATATAGCAATAGATAAAGTGTAGAAAAGTATATGTTTGTAGATTTAAAAAAAAGTCATACGATTACATATGTACATATATATTAACATAAATATATATGGGCTAGAGTTGAACCACAACTTCGTACGCATGGCATTTGAAAATGCTTTTGATAAAGTTACAAGCTGATTTTTTTAGATATATAATTTATAATTATATATAAATAATTATAAGAATTTTTTTGTAAACTTATCAAATAAAAGAGTTCTTATTATAATATTGGGATTTTAAACTTAAGGGGTATGGCCACAGTAGAATTTTTTAAAAATGGTTTTTTTTTTTGATTAAACGATGCTTTATAGTCATAAAAATGATATGCCATTTTACTCAGAATGAAATAATCATTTTGGATTGATTGAAGGTGTATATCGAAAGCCCACCGCCGGCTCGGCTAACTTATATGTGAAACTTTGTTTTTCTCGAAACACTTTTTTTTGAATTGGCGTGACAAATAACTTGTACAATTTTGATCCGATTGACTTCAAATTTTTACATCAAGTTTATTATTGCATTCCGTAGGGGATTTTCGATTAATCAAGTACTTTTTTTGTTATGACTAGTCCATTACAGAATTATTGACTAAAAATGCACGTTTTCTGTTCAAATCCCTATAATTTCCATAAAAATCAATATTTTTGAAATCCCCTACGTACTTCTATAGCTATTGTCATGCAGATTAACGAAATTTTTTTGTTTTGTTCCAGGACAAGAATTGTATATGCAAAATGTTACGCCGTGGAGCGCTTTAGAAAAATGGATGAAAAAGAGATCAGAAATATCGGTCATTTTGTGCCGGAAAAAAAATCTAAAAAATAGTTTCTCATAAGCTTTATATCCGAACTTCATCGGTATGTGATTATTTTCATGAATAAATAATAGTTCCATACAAAAAAAATATTACATTTGCACATGGTTTTTTACCCGCTACTGCGGCCATACCCCTTAAGTAAGAAATAAAATAGAATTCTAATATCTTTTTACGCAAGCGTAGTCCTAAAATCATCTCAGAGTTTCCCTTTAGACAGCATTTTTAAATTTTCAGAAAATCACCAAGCTACTGTATGAGCTTTTACTCTGCAGCATGTCACATACAACTAACAAAAGGAGAAATAGCTTTTTCTTCTATTTTTTACTGCAACCCAAAGAGTTTCGCCTTGAAGTTTGTTTATGATTATTGCTTAGCGTACTTTGAAGGGAAACTGACATACATGATAGCTCGAGTTATTTCACTCTGAGCCCTTTTCAAACTACGGCGCTCTCCTTAGAAGGCGGGAACATCTCTTCGTTGCATGCGGGAATTTCTCGGTGGGTTGCATAAAGCATTAGCTAGCGGATTTGGATGATTTCTTAGCTTTGTGAAGTACTTCGTCCTGCTTCTTCCAATTTCAGGCTTAACCAGCAAAATACCAAGGTCTTGATGAGTGTTAACGTTACGAACTTACCATGGTGCGCCCGTTAGTGCTCTTAAAATTTTAGAATGGAACTTCTGTATTTTATCGATATGAGTTGCACAGGTCATACCGCACAGTTGAATACCGTACATCCAAATTGGTTTCAGTACTGCGTTGTAAATAAAGACTTTGTAGTCTAGTTTTAGACCGGAGCTTTAATTTAAAAGTCAATTTTAACTAGCTGCTTTTAATTCCATATGTAGTATTTTTGCCTCTAAGTGTCTCTCCCAAGTGAGACGTCTATCTAAGTGTATACCGAGATATGTGACATCATTAACTTGGGAAATGTTTATACCATTTAAGTAAATTGCTGGACATGATTGAGGTCTTAAAGTAGATGTGACGTGTTTACACTTTTGTTCACTAAATTTAATTCTCCATTTTTTTTGCCATTCTTCGATGAGGAGTAAATGATCACTAATCGTTTTTGTCGCTCTTTTAGGGCATTTATCCTGTGTCATCCGCAAAGGTAAAATATGTCTGCACTTTTCGGTTTAATGGGATATCTGCAGTGTATATGATATATAAAATAGGCCCGAGGACGCTACCCTGCGGAACACCAGCTTTTACCGTCTACTCCTCACTAATAAATTCAGATTGTTTAATGGTAAATTATCTGTTAGTCAGATATGTCTTAAGTATCATATAAAATTGAACAGGCAGAGATTTATGTATTTTGTACAGTAAACCTTTATGCCAGACTTTGTCGAACGCTTGTGCTACGTCAAGGAAAATTGCAAAACAGTACTCCTTGAGCTCGAATGCCTTCCTTATTCGGTTGACTTGTTCAACTGTACTATGCTTTTCACGAAAGCCGAATTGAATTGGTGATCTGGTATCACATTGTTACGGTGGAGGAAAGAAGATATTTTTGATAGCAGAATTTTCTCAAATAATTTGGAAAGACTGGGTAGTAGGCTTATTGGTCTGTAAGACGCCGCCTGTGTGTGGTCTTTGCCTGGTTTGGCTATCATTAATATCTGCGACTTTTTCCACGCGTTTGGAAAGTAATTTAATTTTAGAATGGCATTAAAGAGTTCAGAGAGCAATGCTTGTGCAACTCTTGGTAGCTCTATTAGCATTTTAGTTGTAATGAGGTCGTGGCCTGGAGATTTCTTTGGATTCAGTTTCTGCATCGCGTTTACCACTTCTAGGCTTGATATTTTAATTGTCACCTGATTTTCCTGGCCGTTAATAGCAAATTCCGGCAGAATAATAATACTCTTGGATTTGAAGGTGTCATTTGATGGTATGTGGGAGATTCTAGGAATAAATACAACTTCTTCTTGAGAACAACATAAAGTTCGCGAATACACTCGATTACAATTCGATGCAATATTTTCACCGTAATCTGGTGCCTTTGCATAATGGTGGATTTAAATTGCGCAAGAACATAATTAACGCTCCAACACTTAATTTCAATATATGAGTTGGGAGACCGGGTGGCTTTAGGAGGGTGTATTTGGGAACTTCACCGGCTAATGTTTGGCATCGTCGGTGTTTTTCACTGGGTCGATAGATTTATATCTACTGATAATCGATCGCTTGGATTGATTTTGAAAGCATTTAAGTTAGGACTGAGGCTTTAACCTTTTTTTGGTATTAAGATGTCACTCTCGCATAACCAATCTGCGGACGACTTCACTTTTGTTTGGGTAATTTTTCGTTATAAGCTCTACCATAGCCGAAACATTTATTCGTAACGCTGTAGGTGCAATTATATTGTTATTCAAGTCAAGCGAAGGGTCTAAGATTTTTACACAGATTTATCTCGTTTGACAATTATTATTTTAAATGGATCGATTTTGAACTTCGAAAACTTCTTTATGAGCTATCCCATTAATTTGTTAGACATGCAAGTTGTTTTTGATATTCACTCACGATATTTCCATGTGTAATACTCTTCTTTAATTGTTAATCGCAGTACCAATATTTCCAGGAAGAATACGTGTTTCCAATAATAATTTGGGCAAAATTTGCTTTTTACTAAACAGGAATTTTTTAGATCAGTCTTAGACCCACTTCCCGGTGCAAAAACTGTTCCACATGTCAATTCAGGTAAACTAAATTTTATTGAAATCAAACAATTCAAAAATAAACTAAATTTTTTCATATAGATCGGTTTTAAGTTCATCTCAAGAACACCCTTTCTTAGAACACATTTACCAAGTTTCAAGTCTGGAAGATCAGTGGTTTAAGCTATAGGTTCATACGGCGGTCGTTCAGAGCAAAGCTTTTTTTTATATTATATATTTATAGATAAAAATCAAAGAATATTGGTGAAAATCATAAGACTCATGGCAGCCATAAACATTTTCAACGTCCAATTTCAATAAAATTTTTGATTAAAAGCCATATGACCGTAATTATATTGAAGGAGCTTCAGAACGGTAACGGTCTCATCATACCTGGATATATTGCTACTAACTAGAAACTAGAAACTTTGATGCCAGAAATTTATGTTCTCTATTTATACGCATACCATTCTGAAGTCGACTCACTATACTAATCGTTATTAGGTCTTCAAATCGATTATTGTACACACTTACTCGCTTTCAATTGTGCGTCCACCTTTTCAAATGTCAGATCATTAAATACGCGCACATCAAAACCATATAATGAAAGTGTCTCGGCGATCGTATCACGATCTTTCTCTGTACCCATACGATCCTTCTGACCTTTAACATATTTATGGTTGAGTATGACAGCCACACCCACATAGGGATGGTTATTTTGATAGAATTCCTCATGTGTAGAGCGTGACTGAACTATTTGATTTGTTGGTGCTGTGACAGCACGACCCGATTGTCCAACAACTTGTGCAGCATCTGCTTTGTCATGTTTGGATTTGGATTTTTTGAAAAGATCAAAATCAGTCTCATCAGACATGTTGTTCTCGTTTTTTGCGCTAGCTTTGTATGGGGTACACAATTTATTTTTTTTTATTTATTTTTTTACACACGCGCTTGCCCAAGTGGCAGGCACTAAATCTATTCGCGAACTGATTTTCTATATTCGGTGGAAATTCTCACCAAATGAATATTTAAGGGAGTGAATGGGTTTTTATCTTATCAAGCGCTGGCTTATCAAATGGTGGAATTATATAGAGCACAAATTTGAAAAACCTTAGATGGTTGGGTATTCTCTTAAACGTAAACAAGAGAGCACCACGTCTACTTACGTTCATACAAATATGTCTTAAGCTTATGACGTTAATGCATCAAACATTCAACTATAAATATGCGCAAATGACAAAATATTATTACCTCATTGACTGTACGCCCGAGTTTATTTTACGTAGCCCCCGTTTCTCGGCAGACACAGCGGTTCTGCAGGGTTGGCACGCCAACGTCTGGTGACTAAACTCTTTGACACGACTGTGTTGTGATGCTTTATAGGCAATGAAGCGAATTTCAGCCGAGCCCCACCTCCTATATGTGGTGCGCGTATGCATGTTTTTCCAGCGAATAGTGGTACCTACAGTTTATTCTAAACCGCCTCCGAACGGCAGATGGATTTTGATGAGGCACTTTCATTTCATGTCAGAAATACCCTTAATTTAGAAGTAGACTCTTCTTTCTCCATGGGCGTGGGCCCCGCATTTATGGATTGGGCAGAGCACACTTAAGCTCCAATCGTCCGACATGCTTTCTTCCTACCATATTCTGCAAAGTAGCTGATACATGCACCTTGTTAGCTTCCTTTCATCGGCATATTTAAATAGCTCAGTCCGTAAGCCATTGGCTCTAGCTGCTTTGTTGTTCTCTAAGCGGGCAGTCACTATTCGAACCTCGTTATAGTCAGGTGGTGGAACGTCTTTTCCATCATCGTTTATTATTGGTTTTGGTTCGCCTTCTTTTGGTGTTACACTTTCACTTTTATTCAACAAGTTGGAGAGGTGTTCTTTCCTCCTCTTCTCTGTGTCCCACAAGAATTTGCCCCGCCCTTGAAGTCTTCTAAAAGTCGCCGTATCTTATCTTAGCACTTTCAAGCAAAACCCTTGTCGGTCAGCTTCTCGAGTTTTTTATGCTCCCGCGTCTCGGTCTCTTTCTTTTCTGTCTGCACAAGCGGCTGACTTCCTTCTTCAACTCTAGGCATTTATCTCACCCCGCCGGTGTATTGCTCGACCTCAAAGCTGCGAGGCAGATATCGTACAGTGGAACCCCCATGTTTTTTCCATCTTCTTGAAAACTGATAGTTGCTCTTTTATACCGAGTTGCTGATGAGTGCTCTCAGAGAGCAGGGGCGTAGATCGAGGAGAAAATCGGTCGGCTGTCTGTCGTCATTTCAGTTTTAGACTTCGAGTGTGCACCCGTCAAGTACATTAGAGAGGTGTCTTCCGTCTATCACAACATCATCTGGTTTTGTGTTTTTCGAGCTGGAGACAGCCAACTTAGCTTTATGAATTTTCTTGTGCCATAGTTCCGGCCTCAGCGAAGTCCATCTGCCTAAACCCATTTGTGGATGTTTAATTGTGGATGCTGAATTTTCAGACAGTTGTATATTCTTTGTCGAACCAGTGCTCATGTGGACGTTCCAGGCGTTTATAAAAGGCATCCCTGCAATTAGACTTCAGCGAACCCTTAAACCGAAGATGTCGGAGTGGCTCTGATTGGCTTGCTTTCTTATGGCTGTAAGCCAAGCGACGTGAATGTAAGGGCTGGAATCGAGTGTAGCCCGCGACTGTAAAAGCATATTCACAAGGTTGACTCTACCCCGTTACACCGCCGCAAGAGTAGGAGATGTGTGTCTACAAAAGTAATTTTCTTAAGACTAAAGGTTAACAGCACTTCTTTTTAAGGCGGCGGGTGTTCTTACGCTAGTAATGCGCCCTTTTATATCATCTACAACCCACCGGTGAGTCACACTATTCGGTGACATATGTAAGCGCAGAACAGTTTACGTAGTACCTTTTCGTATTAACACCACAATGCGGTGAGGTGAAGCATTTGCCGAGCAGATAATTGTGCAAAGCGTGGTTTCGGTGATACCGCCGACACTCTAGACAGTCAGTGTTGAAGCTCCTTGAGCTGCTTCCTTTCCAACGGCTACCGAATTTATGGTGGAGCGCTTTGACTTTCTCCTCCCATCGGCTTAAAAAATGGGGGTTTCTGCATTAGGCTCGAAAATGGCGGTTCGTATTGAATTGGATTTTAAAACTGGGTGGTATATTTTGCTATTTGATGCCTAGCGGCTCATACTGCTTGGTAAAATCTACTGAACATTCGTTGGGGAATATGACGACTTCACGTTCAGTTGCTCTCTCATTTTGGCGGGATATCCTTGCCTGCCCATAAAGCCTGAGCTTGCTATGAATAAAGGAATACGTCAGTGTACTCCTTGATGAGTGTAGTGGATTTGCATACTGTGGCCTTTATTAAAAACGGCCCTGCGATAAACATTGTGCACCGTCCAGCAGGTAGAGCGACCATTAGCTCCGTATAGAAAAATATGTATTTTTTATAAAAAAAAAGGTTTCAGCTTCGGGATGAAGTATTCTTACCTGTCCATTTGAAGCATTTAATAGCATTCGACAATATGAAAATGAGCAGATTCTCTCTCAAGTGATTTCTAAAACAAACTGTCCGAACGTTTGGAGAGGATAGTCTCAATAAATGCGTCACTAATTCTGCATTGTACAGCCGAGTCAGGAAAGCGATTCCACTTATCCGGGTGCTAATAATTTAGAATGATAAATGCATCTTTCCCTCAGCCTCCTCTCAAAAATAACTAAATTCACTGTCAAATATCGAATGCTTTTTTAATAAAATACTTTATTTAAACAATTAAAAAAAATTACAAAATGCAATGTGTTCGCATTTGATTGAGTCCAGCTCTTAAACATATTGAACTGGAGCATCAAAGTGCTTGTAGTATGGTGAGTCTGTTTGGAAAATTCGACCTAACTTTTCCTCCTCATCTTCATCATTATCCCATTCAGGTAAACTTCCATTTCTTCCATCGGCTTCTGCACTTTTAGGCTTCACCTTCAGAAAGAACGTTTTGGTAAGTGTTGACATAAAGTTGGGCATCTCCTTCTTTTCGTTAATCAACTCATTATCACTGTAAGACTGATATTCATAAGCTACTTTGCGATTTACAGCCGTAAGTAGACGCAAGAACTCCGCGCCGGCATTTTGTGCTTCGATGCTGTCGGCGGCCTCATTTAAAACGCTGCAAAGACTTTGAATGAACCATGAACCCGTTGTGGTATTCCGAAATGAGTAATGATCTGTGAAGAGAAAAGTAAAATATTTTAATAACTTCAATATGAATTTTTAAAGCTTTTAGTTTATGATACTGAATTTACGGCCGACAAAGATAGACGACTCGCTATTCTGTACCATAAAAGATAACGTCCCCATCAGAGTTGTGACCTATGATGGGTCTAGCACTTATACCTACTACTCTTCACTGACAGGTCTCCTCACGATTCAGGGAATTTACCGAGAACACCTTCAGTGCTTTCTTCACTCCGATTAACGTCACAGCCGTGAACGTTCATACCGCAGAATTGTCGTGACGCCCGAATTTCCACACGGATGCGGCGGTCCTAGCTTCAAGGCGTGACTTAATTCGTAACGCCGTTCACGGAAATCCCCTAAGAGACACTCCGAAGAGGTGCGCGAGCTTTTTTTTGCCGACGCTATACACTGCATCCTTCGGTTGACAAAATGAACCGACAAGTGACTCACCAAGGTCATCAAACTATCTATGACCACCCTAAAAATACCCAACAAGTGGGAAGTGGGTAGAATGGTCGCGCTGCTCAAACCGGGGAAACCAGCCAATAAATCAGGGTTCAATCGGTCGAGAGTCCCTCACAATACTGACACAACTCAGGTTTGGATATTGTAACAGGTTAGACACCTACATATCCAGACTCGACACGACTTATGTGACATATATCCTGCACGCAAAGAGCCCTGCACCACACAAACCACCTCTTTACATGCGCCTCTCGGCCTCTGGTCTGAACCCTCGTTTCCTGGACCTCCGGTTAGCTGACCTTGATGACTCACGCTAAGTAGCCCGTTCCTAAGCGGGGTTGGAAAACCAGTGCAATCACAACAACACTAGTGCTCTGTCCAATCCACAAAAAGCGATCCCACAGTGCACCAATTACCGTGGGCTGTTGTCCTTAATGTCGCAGACTAAAAACCACCGTCAACAATCTGATTGGACCTTATCGACTTGGCTTAAGACCTGGTAAACCAACCATTGACCAGATATTCTTCAAGACCATTGAAAAGAGGATCGACACACAAAACCTCTTAGTCGATTTTAAAGATGCCTTCGACAGCACGAAATGGAGTTGCCTCCTCTACACCACTATGTCTGAATTCGGCATCTCCAAAAAACTTATACGGCAACACTAAAAGCTCCGTCAGGATCGGGAAGGAGTGAGTGAGTCGTTCTATATCAAACAAGATTTCAGACAAAGGTATTCTATATCGAGCAGCAGAGTTGAATAGGGAAGGTACAAACTTCGGCTTCTCCCGACTGGATAAGGAAGTGAAAAATATGGTTCTGGTAGTGAACGAAGACAAGACGAAGTAAATCCTGTCATCAAACAAAGAGTCATTGCATTCGCTCCCACCTCACTATTGTCAGTCATATCTTTGAAGTCGGGCCATTTGTTGGAGAGAAATGACGAAGAATTCGGCCGAAAAACCCTATCAGTGATTATCATTGTTATTATACTTATGAATTCCAGATAATAAATTATTTACCTTCAAATGTTGAATACATAACCAAAATATCAGCTGTAGATGGTATGGCATAAGTAGATGTGACAGGGTCAGTGAATCTTGCGTGCATCACGTTATCGGAAAAAGCCATGCGTGACGTTATCATAACGGGTTGATCTATGCGTTTGCCGCGACATGCCTATTTGAAATCAAATCGATGAGGACATATAGTCATGTAAAGCAATGAAATGTTTTTTTTTTTTTAATTTATATTTTTCAATATGGACTTACTTGTATAAAAAAAATTTTAGGTTTTCCCAATAAAGTTGGGCAATTAGTGCCAAGTAATGGCACCCAAAGCTTTTCGGTCGAATAGAATTCATCAGCTGCGCATATTCGCCCCTTGTCCCCATGCGTCATAACAACCATGACGAAACAATCATAACGGCTGTGATCCTCAGCGGCAACTAGAAAATATATATTTAATTATTTGATCATTTCAGGTTAACTCTTGTCGATGACGATTTCTAACCCGAGTTCAGTAGAATTTTTATTTTTCGACTCGTTAATTCGTTATAAACACGCACATCGAAACCAAAATTTTCCAATGATGCTGTTATATCATCTCTGTCTTTTTCAGTGCCCTTTCGTTTTAGTTGGCCCTTAACATTCTTGTGATTGAGTACGATAGCAAGTCCGATGTGTGGATTATCGGTTCTGTAATCGACTTCTGTAGTTGGTCGTGAAATTATCGGCTTAACCTCTTTCGGTTTACTGGGGTTTTGTGGTTCTGCTTGGGCGTCTGATGTGGTTTTGCTCTTTTCTGTTTTCTTACTACCAAAGAAGAATATATCCTTTTCATCCATTATATACTTGAGTTGTCTTCACTGGTATCTGATATCTGCAATTAGACAATATTTCTATTGTTCTAGATAAATTTGTTATTGAACCTTTGTTTTTTATTACAGGAATAACAAAATAAAACACAGTTATATCAAAAAAAAAAATATCGATAAAAAATCTGGCTTCTGTTATGTCGAAGTCTTTATACCTTTTATGAACACTTAAAATCTATTGCAAAATGCAAAGCTCGATTTTGATGATTTTCAGTGTCAACATTTCCCTACATGATTTTTTGTTGGATTTTTGATTTGAAACCTCAAGTCGCTTTCATTTGTGTAGATTATATAATTGTCTGCCAGTTTAGATGATTTTTGGCATCAATCTTTTTTTAGAATATACGAGCTTGAATACCAAATTTCATTTTCTTGGTTCCCAAAATCATATATCGGAGCAACACGGTATCGACGAATACTAAGGTTCAATCAAATATCTTATTGAACAGCTTGCGCTCAAATAGCCTGACAGAATGTCAGGCAAATAAACTGACATCGTCATTCTGATCACTCCTCCTTAATGTACTTTCATACATCGACTTATGTAAATATTGGCGTAGTAAAAAGAAATCCCTTATTTTTCCAATATATGGCGTTATTTGTCTGTATTTCGCGTTGTATAAGTCCATTCAAATTTCGCTAGATGGCGTTAGAAAGATAATGTTTCGCAGTAAAAAAGCCTTTCTGACAGTTTTGTGTATGGTTGATTCAGTTTTGTTTGAGAGAGCGTTAAGGAAGGACATAAGCAAAGAGAAAACACGCTGCGTTTTACAGTTTTTCTTAGATAAGGCCGAAAACGCATTTATGGTCCTGATACTGTTCCAGTCAATCATGCACAACTTCGGCTTCATTCCGATAATTTTGAGGTAAAAGATGCTTCAAGGAGTAGAAGGCCAATTGTCGAAAATGTTGACAATTTATTGACATTGTCGAGTCCGATCGTCATGTAAGCACTTTTTCGATTGTCCAACCTAATATGTATACGAGTCCATGTTCATTAAAGGTATAAAAAGATTGGATTTTTTCTCGCAACATTTTATTGAACTTTTCGTTTATAAAACTTACAATAATTTCAAAATCTTAAAATAAATTCTCAAACATAATTAAATCATTCAAAATACTGCCTCGCGAATTTTTGCAAACTTTGCTCCGTTTGATGTAATTTTCAATCGCTTTTTATCATAAATAAATGTTGGTTTTCTAGTGCTCAAGTTATGCGCACAACCTGCATAGCCCCACAAAAAAATTCAACGGTACCAAATCGTAGGATCTCGTTGGCTAATTGACATCGTCAGTAAGAGCGATTACTCGGCTGGGAAATTTCTCTTGCAATAAAGCCGGAATACCTCGTGTTGTATGGCATGTGATACCTCTTTGTCGAAACTACATATTGTTCAAGTCGTGTTCTTCAATTGCAGGTCCAAAAAAGCTTGTTATCTTACGACCCTAATGCTCTGAATTGACAGTGACAGCCTCATTGTTGTAATTTTCAAAGAAGTAAGTCCCAGACGCACCTCCGGGCCAAAGAGCGAACTAAACAGTAGTTTTTTTTGTAGGTGTAACGTCCTCTCCTTAATTATTTGCGGATTCTCGGAGTACTAAATGTTACAGTTTTGCATATTTTAAGCATACCCCGCCTGAGAAATGTGCCTCGTTAGTGATGACATTTTTTTTTGCTTGCTGTTTAAGTCCCCAATCGTCGTATTCATGGTATTGTGTGTGTATGTTTTGTTTGACATTTGAACTACTTTTGAAACGATGCAATGGTTAACCCTATATATAGATGGAAAACATGATATTTCCAAATAACTGCGGTGGAGCCCATAATCACAGTAAAAACGTAAATAATTTGCCTTTAATGCGGCCTGAAAGACCAAGATTCGAGTCCTGGTCAGACAAATTCCCACATATATACATATATCTTAATACATTTACACCAGTAAGTACAGCATCATGTACCGCAAAAAGTATTTACATAGTTTTATTTTGATATTCGGGATTTGGTTCATCATGAATTCGTTCCAACGGGACAGACAGTCAATATAATCATTATTATTTGTGCATTCAGAGGCATTTGCGTGAAAGCATCAGTCGTAAACGGCCGGAATTGTGGTTTAACAATTACCGGATCGCACCGAGCTGCAATTGTGAACGATTTTGAGATCAAAAAACTGGTCTAATACCATGGATCAACTACCGTATATGTTTCCAAAACTCAAGTTTCACACTCCGTGGAGCCCGTGTGCACTAGCTTGAGGCCGTAAAAATATTCGCAGAGGGAACTGAGGTCGACTAATTTCAACAGCTGCTGCAAACAACCGGGTTTGACAGATTACGCTCGTTTTTGGCATAGTAATTAAAGACAGTGCTACCCACTTAATAAAAAAAATTGCTGAAAATTATTAAGCGCGAAAAGTTTATATGACACTTTCCGGCCTAATGCTAAGCTCGGGAACGGTTCGGCTAATTTTCAAAGGTTGTCCCTGACGTAATACATTTTTTTTACATAAAAATCTTTTGTCCGTTTGGTAAAATCTAGTAATCTTCAAAAATCTCCAAAAGTCAGATAACGATTGAGTTAAAATTTTGCCAGATTTTTTCTACAGTTTCTCGAAGGTTTTTATAAAAAAATTTAGGGAAGTGAAAAAAGGACTGACCGTCGTGGTCCAAGCTCGGGGAAGCGGCCCAGAAGGTTTTGCTGTGTTTTTGGTGAGATTGGCAAGGAATAATCCACTACGAGCTGCTCCCCTATGGCCAAACGTTCAATTCGGTCCTCTACTGCCAACAAATGGACCGCTTGAAGGTAGCACTCATCCAGAAGAGGCCATCTTTGATCAACAGAGGCCGAATTGTGTTCCATCAGGACAACGCCAGGCCATAGACGTCTTTAGTGACGCGCCAGAAGCCTCAAGGAGCGCGGATGGGAGGTCCTAATGCACCCACCTTATAGTTCGGTCCTGACATCTTATCCGAATTCGTTCTTCCTAACTTTGGCAATATTTTTTTCATAGAGAATCATCGAGAATGTCCAGTGTAGAGCACAAGCTGAAAAGGATAAAATATCGATGCATTTTTTAAACAGTTTTTCGAACATCAACCACCTGAAACGAAATATGAGCTGCACCAGTCTTGAGAAGAAAATAAAAAACTTAATTTTTCCATCAAAACAAATTTTAAAATTTTTTCGACTCTCGGGCCATTTAATAACCTATCAATCTCATGTTCGTTTTATCGAAGCAGCTCTTCTTACCTGTCCCATATTAAGCTCTGTGTGTAAGTACCTCGATGGAACTTTATCTAACAAAAACAAAAACAAAGTTACTCACTCGTATTTATTTACATATATAACAACTGGCTGCGTAGCTTGAATACTGCAATTGATTTGTTTACATTTATCATAAAAGTTTGCTAACAAATCTTCACTTTACTACCGTTATTAGCTATCTAACGCCTTTCGAAATCGGCATTGGTCCCGCCCAATAAAGGAAACACTAAAATAAAATCCTACGAGTAAATACAAGGGTTGCTGCACTATGAAAATGCCACAGGCATACATACATACATAAAAACATTATAGTGGTAGTTGTTTGCGCGAGTGTTGTGCGTGGTTGTGTATGTGCGCGGAAGCGGGTGGAAATATTCGGAAATTGTAAAAATTCATCGCAGACATTTTGAGGAAATGCGCAAAAATTACATATTGCCAATAAAAATCTAATTAGCTTATAAAATGCTGTTATTACCAGTGAATTATCACGACCACAAGTAACAGACAAGACAGGCAAAGGTTGCTTGCGTTAATGTGTGCGTGTGTGGGAATGCTAAGAGCACAGCAGTGCGCGCGCAGCGGAAGCCGGAAATGACAAAGCGGATGAAGGCATGACATATCGGCGCGAAAATCAAAGTGGCAACATTATTGCGCAGTGGCAGACGTCGGTTTTAAGCAAGGTAAAAGTGAAAGCTCTCTCGTCAGTATGCGAATTCACGCACAATACAAAAAAAAAATATAAAATAAAATAAATAAATAAAAAGCAGGAAAGAATACAACGCTGTGTCGAGGGAAAGCCAAACCATGGCATGTAAAGGGTGTTTGTTTTGAGCAAATGGTTTTCAAGAAAAAATAATAATTGAAAAATAATTTCCGGCTGGTTCGTATACATTCCAGTCGAGGGACCCACATTTTGCGGCAATTGGCGCCAATAATGCGCTTAAACTTATCTTAGAAGGTGTAAATCGGTTCAGGATTATCTGCGTAGACAAACGACTTCCACGCAACAGGTCCTGGACACGATATAATGCGCTCGTTGCATGGCATGTAGCACCATGTTGTTGTAACCAAAGATCGTTCACCTCAATTTACTCAATTTCACGAACGAAAAAGTCATTCCTGATGACTCTATAGTCTTTATCATTAACTGTAACATCATGGCCGGCTGCTTCATTTTTGAAGATGACAAGCCGAAAGAGGTCACCGAACAGTGACTTTTTGATTATGTCAGAGCGTCTCAACAATGATTTTTGGGTTATCATCGCTCTAAATGTGTCAGTTTTATTTATTAACATACCCACTCAATCAAAATTGAGCTTCATTGCAGAACAAAGTTTTCTTGTGAAAATCGGTGGACACCTCATTTTGGGCCCAACCACCGAACGTGCGACGCGTTTGATGGTCTTCCATGAAGTGTATGGTCACAACTACATTTGTTGGACGTGATGTGGAATCGAATCTTCTTCGAGCTGTGGTGTAGAGCTACACTGTACGACGTCTCTAAATATGCGCATTATCCACAAGCGTAAAATGTGTTGCAAAAACGATGCTTAATTCCTCGAATTACCCACTCTGTTAGGTAATAATTTGAACACAGTACGGGATTTGCAAACGTTATATCACGAATAGCCGAGTGGCCAGCATTGCGTTTTGCTATTCTGATGAGCAGGGTTCTACTTCTCATTCGACCAACATCCAAAATTACAGAAATTTTATTTTCCTAATTGCGGTCACTCCTCTGTAGAAAATGTCAAGCCCTCAGAGTGTATTCCTGACTTGAAATAAAAGGCCCCTCACAAAAATCCTTCGGCGATTTGGAGGTGGATAAGTATAAACTGTGTAGGGACCGTTTGTTGTAAAACACAAAGATGCACACCAAAAATTGGAGGAAAAGCTCGGCCGAAAATCACTTCAGCTGCTACAAAGCTCCAATTACGAGGGTTATATATCGACAAAAACTCGTTTTATTGCTTATCAAAATATTCTCCGTTAAGATCTATAGACTTTTGCATACTTTTGAGCAATTTTGCCACTCTGATTGAGATATCTGCATAGCGTGCATTCTGAATGCATCAACCGTCATTCCAGCGGTCAAAAAATGCTGATCTGTCAGTTCATTTTTTTACGTTCCGGTACGTAAAAGAAATGAAATCATTTGGTATCAAGTCAGTACTTTGCGGTGAATAACTTATGAAATCGATGTTTTAATTGCTCAGCAGCTCAGTTGATGTGTGAGAGCTCGCATGTCTTGGTGGAGAGTGCACCGACTTTGGCGGTTGGGTTTTCTGATACCTTGAAAGACAACTGGTGAACAACTCTTCCACCCATAATTTACTATTCTGTGTTATAATATCTCTTTTCAAAATGCTTTGAGCTATAATAAGTCTCACTATAAGATCGCCCGCCTTAAATTGGCCACAGGAGATGTAGATCGCAAATCATAAAAATTATAAATTAGTAGAAATTATGGTTGTTGTTTTTCTTTTAGGGGTTAGCTAACTGCACTTAAGAGCAGACTAGAACGGTCTAAGTCATCGAGGTCATCTAACGGTAGATTCAGGAAACGAGCTGTTTGACGAGTTGGTGGCAGTTGAGTTGGTTTTAGGGGCATTCAAAGAAGTGGTTGGTGGGTAGGTAGGAGTTTAGTCTACTTCAATATCCAGATCGAAGTTGCGCCAGTATTACGCTAAAGAAAGAATTTGACGGGCTCTCGGTGAATTACGCTTTATGCCTGGCTGCAAGCCGTCCTATTGAGCGGCCGTTTTAGGTACTTCTGAATGCAAGTCCATAAAGTCGAGAATTCCTTCTCCGATGTGCCTGGGTGGTGTATCAGCTTTCAGTAAGTATCTGTTGAGTTGCTCCATATAGTAGAATCCCAGCAGATATTGCTTGCACAGCGAAGTATCTATATTACGAGTTAATGAGTGATACTCTGGCGACACCGGAAGGTTTGCTGTCACAGTCCTAAGCGTGGTGTTTTGGCGGGCTTGTAACTTCTTCAACTGCGTCTCGTCAGTCTCCGTCGCCCAGTTCGCTGCAGCAAAGCCAATGACCGGGTGGACAATTGCTCTGTAGGTTGCAAGGAATGTTTTTTTTATTTTTTCCCAGGTGCTGCTGCCTAACGCTATCGGGATTTTGTTCCGGCTCTGTAATTTTGAAGCAATTACAGTCGTATGAGTGAAGGCTTGTCGAATGTGACTTCCCTTAACTTCTGGTTGTATATTGTCACCATAGACTTTCATATCGAGTTCGAGCCAGTACTCCTCCGTCAAGCTGGCCAGGAGGGCAGTTTCGATACATAAAAGTTAAACGGCAGTGAGGAGAGGACATTACCCTGCGGAACTCCTTATTTTATCTTGCAGAGTTTCGATGTTTGAACTCAAAATTCTACCGTTGATTGAGACCCACTGAAGTGATCCATCTCTTCGGCGGTAAGTCCCCCTTACCATTATCAATGTCAGATAGTATCATTCAATGATTGCCGATTTCAAAAGCTTTCGAAGTATGATGAAAGTTCTACAAAACCACGTACAGCGTCCCATATTAATGTCCATACCAACTCAAGCATTGGTCTGAATAGCGCTATCTTTTAGCAACAACTGAGATGCTACTCCCATGGAGAGGGCCAAATTTAACGATCCATGTGCGGCAAGAAGCACAGGAAGATATTCTAGTGTTTTATCTTAACATAAAAATATATATATAAAAATATAAAAAAAAATATGCCCCAAAAATGATCATAACATCCTTTCGAGTCGGTCATATGAATGCTTTGTGTTTTCAACATTATTTGACCCTACTGAGCCTCATATATTTTAGCTGAGAGTTTTAAGTCTAGCACCCTTCGCTCAGCTTAGCTGTAAATTATTTAGAAATGTTATCATTACAACATTTATTAACATAAATTTTACAACGTTTTTACCCGAAACTAACGCTGTTGTTAATGTTAAATCGTTAACAGACAATGTTACCCTTTAAAATTAAAGTATGCTGTAAACACCATAACAGGCAGCACTTTTAAAATTAGCGTTAACAATAAGTTTGTGCAGTTTCAAGATTAAAAATTTCATTTCGTTTTGATAACATTGACCCTAACCTAAACAAATGTAGTTCTTTAATTCATTTATAAATAAATTTTGTATATGAAAGATTTGTCCAAAATATGAAATCACTAAAAACATGCTCAGGCGAACGAGTGTATGCTGTAACCAACCACTTGCATGCAGCTAAACACAATTCAGCACTACATGATGCCCAACAGTTGATGCTCCCACATTGTTGGCTTCACTAACTCGCTCTCATGCTCACTAAACGAGCGGCCATCGGAAACGCACGAATTGAACCGCCACTGACAGTTTCGATGGCAAAGGCCAGGCAAAAAGCAACATTGGCATTTAGTTGAAAAATTAAAGTGGCGTTGAACGGATGTTATAGTGACGGTTACGGACACGACGCAGGAAGGTCTATGATATTCGAATAAAGTGCAGCAGACGCTTTAGCTGTAGTAAATAAAGAAAATCAAAGTGATGAAATATACATATGCATGTATGTGTGCTTGAAAAACATTCACTAAAAAAATTATAATTATTAATAATATTTAAGTGTTTATACACGAGTGCAGTGAGTGAGCTACATATGTGAGTAAAGGCAAATCTTGAATCCTTGAATAAAGTGCTTGTGAAAGAAAGTAAGAAAAATTACGTGTCGCGATAAATTTAAAAAAAATTTAAGTTAAAAAAATTAAAGTGAATAAAGTGAATAAAGTGCATAAAAGGAGGCAATAACGTGCCAACAACAAAACAACAATAACAAAGAAAACGTAGTGAAAACAAAAGCACAAAAGCATAAAAAAGCATCAAACGTCCTACGCAGGGTGGATTAAAAATCAAATAAAATACAACCGAAACGGAAAAGGCGAAACAGAAATAAAAAAATAAACAACTGAATTGTCAAGTAAGAACAACGGTAACTACAAAAATAAAAATAACAACAAGTAGTAAAAATAATTCAGGCAGATGGCTGACGAAAAAGATGAATTTATATATACATACATATATAATACTATACACGTACTTGTAGTATCGTGAATGAGAAGCGAATGGCTGTGTGTGTGGGTGGATGTATTAAGTATAAATTGAGCGAATATGTGTTCGCAAATATGTACAATATATAAACGTGCATATTATACTCTTATATGTACATACGTATAAACATAACAACAGTATATCGCGCAATAAATGTGAATCCTGCTTACGAGTGTTTGAGCCTTCCCAGGCAATGCAACAACAATAGCGAGCGGCTTTTGTTGGACGCATATGTGGGAGTTATTGCTCGCAAAAGTGGGTGTATGATAGTGTGTCTAGGACATTTGCTGTAGACAGGAGTCGGAGTCAGAGTCACAGTTTCACGCATGAAATTACTGCTTGAGCCAATTATTGAGAATCTTTTTTTTTTATGTGTAAAATGGAGACTTACTCGTAATACCAGCAGAATTGTGGGATTGATTTATTATAAAACTATATTGGGATGATGTAAATTTTTTTGAGATCGTTTATGGACTTTTGAGTAAAGCTATTATTTTCTTATCAGACGCACATTCGGAGGTATTCACATTGCCGCTCGGAAAATGACTGCATTTAGAAAATATCATTTTCGAAATTGTAATCTTTTAAATGACGAACTTTTGACGGTTCGGTGAAATATTAATAAAATGGAAAGGTTTTCGAAAGTGCAATGGTTTCACAAAACTTGTCAAAAGTGCTAACAAGTGATTTGAGAAAGTATTTATTGGCTTAGACAGTTTGTTTTTTAAATTTCCTCATTAACCGGCAATTTGAAAATTTGAAACAAATGATGTTAATTGGCTTCTTATTTCCTTATCAAGTACATACATCGAAAAAAAAAAATTAAACAAAATATTCGTTGGCGCCATCTTTTAAAGGTGCTCAGTGCAGGCAGGTCCTTCCACTTTGGATCTCTGTCATATTCTTCCAGCGGACTGTCAACCTAATAGGTACTCCCAAGCCAAACTACACCGCTAATTCTTGGAATTTGCCAAAGATGGGACAACGAAATATGAAAAAATACATCGTCACACTTGCTAACTCAAGAAGAACGAGTCTCAAGTGTAGCAATGTGTCCAGAAAAAAAGCGATTTGAACGTTTATGCGTCTGCTTATGGGAGACCTTTTGGTGGGTAGTCATTAGCGTGCCATAAAATGACGCTTGCTTAAGTTGTATCGATAAGGAAGTGCCTGAAACCTGAACCCCGCGAATGCAATGCCATAAGACCGACAACCTAAAAAGATCTTAGTGAGAGGATGGGGAATACCTAGAACTCACTTACCACTTCAGCTCAACCATTTCTACGAAAGACCACCCGTTATGAAGCCCATAAATAATAATGATATAAAATGCCGAACAAAATTGAAATTAATTTCATCTTGTTTATAGTTGCAGGCGTACGACCAAATGATCAACCATTCCAATTATATCTCAATTGCTTGCTTCATTCATGAAATTTCAGTTATCTGCAAATATACTTTCAAAAGCTTTTATACATACATATGTGGGTAAACAATATGTTTGTGTGCACAAATTGATTATGCAATTAATAGTGGAGAATTGATATGCTTAGACTATAAAAGCCTTGGTGTCGTAAAAAGAGCATACGAAAAACTCATCAAAATACTCGGTCAATGCAATTCATGGTTTTTAGCTAACAGCACCGGCGTACGCACATAACTGACTGACTCACAAACTCACTAACTGAATGACTCAGTCACTCAGCGATGCAGTTAGATTGCGTCGCTTGGTTGGTCTGTCGGTCGGTCGGTTGGTCCGTCGGTCGGTCGGTCGTCAAGCTTTGACTAGCACGTCACAACACTTCATACCACCAGAGTATAACAACAATAAAAAGCGCCTAAAAACCATTGCCCTACTTCCACCCCCACATTGAATAGAGACATACACATACACACATACCCACATCCACACGCCCACACTCCCGCAGTCAGAAACTCACCCGTACATACACATTTGCCGGCTCTTATCCTGTTTGCCGAGTACTCACTGGGGTGTGCAGACTGACGGCGGCGATGAGCGTGGCGGCGAACGACTACGTTGTACTTGAGGGCACTTTAACCACTATCAAAGTGGCAGTCGCTCGAGTATCATCAAGTGGCCTGGAATGGAGTAACGAAGGCATTGTCGCCTAGGATGCTTGCCCAGTTGACGATTGGGGTATGGTTAGTGAGTGGCAACCATTGACATACTTACCACACCATTCCAACAATAGGAAGCTGCAAAATATTTCTTGCAGTTTAAAAATAAAACTAAAGTAAATATAACAAAGTAAAAACTTAAAACTCGCACTGGAATTGATGGTAACTTTGGTTCTTCAGCCTTAATCTCATCTTATCGAATTCCTTGTGGCAAGCAAATGCATCATCACTCGAATCCAATCAACCGCTGAGTGAGTGCACCAACGGGCAAGTGTATGAAAATTTTGATTGATTAAAGGCTGAAGCTGTGTGTACATTTAATGGCAGTCTGTCATCCAAGTGTTCGAAGACGAAGAATAAAACAAAGTTTTCGATTTTTTATTATTGTCCGTAGTTGCGCGGCAATTTTGATTTTCAACTTGACCACGTTTTGGCAGTTGGCGTAGCGTTTTTAAGTGAGTTCATCTCTTGAATGCGACCAATTTGTAGAGAAAGAATGAAGAAAATCTTGCAAATGTTGAACTGTGGTTCTACTTTGCTTGTGGCACATTCAACATAATATATTTAACTTACACTTACATGTATGTATGTATGTATGTATGTATGTTTTCTTTTGAGTTCTTTTCCCCGCTTAGAATTTCACAACTGTCATTATCATCATCATACAAGTCTCTATTAGAACAATTTGAGCCAATGGTTACTATACGAAGGGATTAATAAAAGTTCGGTCAGTTGGTGATTTTCAATTTGTTTTTGTTAAATTTAAAAATACAATTGCGTTTGAAATTATTTTGTTAGTCTTCCTTTCTACGATCTTTACTACGATTAGGATAGGCCAGACGAAATTCCACCACCAAAGCAAACAGAAATTCGCCATGTGATGCTCTTCGGATTTCGGCGTAATTGCCTATGAATGACTATTTCTAAGTGTTACGAAGATTCCAGACCGGACATTTTTCCATAGAGCACGGGCCCCAAGAAGGTCGACCAAATTCTTCTACTGATGACGTCACTGTAGCTCTGGTGATGTCCGAAATTGACACAAGAAATGATTGCTAATGAACTGGACTTGAATCCCATAGAAATCTGCTCGATGGTGCCCGAGTTTTAAATGAGGCTCAAAAAGAGTCTCTTGCGCATTTTGTTTAATTTTTTCTAAATAAATTCGAAAATGGTCAGTCCAGCAATTTTAGTAAAGTCGTTACTACAGACAAATCTTGGTTCTTTAAGTAAGATCGAGATACCAAACAGCAGTCCAACATATGGAGCCCAACAGGAGCAAACCCAACAAAAATCAGCAGCAAAAGTAAGGATGTTAGTTTAGTAGCTGCTATTCCACTGGATAAGGATCAGACGGTAACTGCAAAATGGTACACCGAAAAGTGCTTACCGAAAGTTTTCAAAAATTTGTTGGAAAACAGGAAGAAAGAGGATTTGCGACGCTACTTTTCACATCTTGACAACGCGCCATTGTATACTGCTGAAATAACGAATATTTTTATTGCGATCTCTGTTAGTTTCAAAAATAAAAATAAATTTAAAAGGAAAGGTCTTTAATAGAAACGAGTGGATAATTAATGCGGTTGGTGCTGAACTTGTTAAGCTTAAAAAGCAAGATTTTGAAGACAGTTTTCAGAAGTGGATCTATAGTATTAAGAATTGCATTGAAATCAATCGCGATTATGTAGAGAAGATAAAAAAAGGACAAATATTACGAGTAACTACAAAAACAAATTTTTTTCTGGTCAATTTTGCCGAATTTATGTTAAGCCCCTCGTAATACTTCGCTGTTATAAGCTCATTGAAGCATTTTTCGACCAATGAGAGGGGTATGCACACTTCTAATAATAATAATCAAATTGCATTGGTTTAAGCCAGCAGATAGATAAATTGATAGTCTTCTTTGTCAGAAGCACAATAAGTAGAAGCTCGTTACTGCTTTTTCCTGATATTTTTTTTTAATTTTGGAATTCAAATGATGTGGCTGATAGAGTTCTTGGGATACTATTTTTGCTCCAACTGAAGGTCTAATATTTTTCTAGTATAAACTACTAAGCTAGATTTATAGCAGAACAAATACTCTCATAATCGTTGAGAATTGTAAATACTTTATAGAAATATCGTTCTAAGACAATGAGGGAATCGATCTTTGGACAATCCTCCCCTCCATTAAGCTCTTAGTTACGCGAGAAAATTGATAACAGAAAGATAAATTGACTCTTTAAAAGCCTTCCCATATCCCTTCTAGACATGAAATAACTTCCATTGTATCGAAGAAATTTTCTGCTAGACTTGCCCTGCAGCAGCTAAAAATATCATCTCCCTCCGGATGGATTTTCATTTTCATGTCAAAAACACATGGCAAAGCGTCGATTTTTTCTACCCACGGGTGAACGCCTTTAGTAATAGAACGTCCAGGGTCCTACCGGCATGACTCAAACTGCTCGTAAAAACGTATTTATTTTTAGTCTAAGAATGTCAGTAATCGTCACGCACTACAAAGCCGTTGGAACATTTTACGTAAAAGAATTTGACACAAAATTTTAGATACAGGAGAAGTTTTAATTTGGAAATGTTTACTAATTCAGCCGAAAGTTCCAATTAACAATTTTCATGCCACATATTAGTAAGATATTTCCAACCTTAAAGTTTCTTTTGGCAGTTATATTGGTATCTTTATAATTGTAGTCAATCGTTACAAATTGTGCTTGGAATCGTCTACTGTGAAGAGATTAATTTCAA